CCCCCTGTCAAAGTGTTTGTTAACTTCTTAAGCGCAGATAACCAGACAATCATCACTGGGTTTGCACACCAGACAGGTCATCAATCTACCGCTGAAATACCTGAAAAAAAAGAAGACAGTTTATCAATTTGGACTCTGTAGGAAAGCCCTGTTTTTATGCTCAGAATTTTATGTATCTATTTTGAATTCCTTCTGATTAGTTTTATTTAGCTGAAAGTATTTGGCCCAATTTATCGCAAGGAGAGGGAGAGAGGGTTTCGAAAGACTTATGTTTGATGGAACCCGAGATTTCCTAGTGTTTGTACCACTATTAGGTTTTCTGGTTCTTATTCAAATTCAATGTCCATGTAAATCTTCTATTTGGTCACTGAATCAAGGCATCTGATGCTACCTTTTGCACTTTCTTTCTAGGTCTTTCCCCACACTTAGACAAAGTATAGGGTCTTAGGCATGGCTTCAAATTCTGCTATGGATTCCACAAACACCCATTGTTCCTCTCGTGATATTGCCTGGCGCCATTGCGAGCTTATAAAAGATGAGGGGAAATCAAAATACATTTGTTTATACTGTCGAAAACTAATCAGTGGAGGGGGGATTCACCGTGTTAAGGAACATTTAGCTGGAAGGAAGGGAAACGTAGCCCCTTGTAAAAGTGTCCCTGCTGAAATTAGGTATCAAATGACTCAAAACTTAGGAGAAGTGGTTTCAGATCACCAAAAACGTCAAAAGATTATTGAGGATTATGTTGATGCCCAGACATCTGCATCCCCAATTTCCTTCTCTGTTGAGCCAAAGCCTTTGTTGGAATCAGAGTCACCCCAAACTAATTTGGAGTCCTCTGCTAAAGACAAGGGTAAAGTTGTGCCTGACGTGGTAGAGGGAAGTAGAAAAAAGAGTAACCGTTTAGCGAGAGAAGCAGGTAATTCCATTGTTCCTTGTAGTGTCCGTGGTGGTCAGGCGAGCTCTAAGGGTGCCCTTCTAGGGAAAGTTGTGAAAGAAAATGTTGATATGGCGATTGGCCGTTTTCTTTTTTGATAGTGCTATTCCCTTTGATGGTGTGAAGTCTTTTTATTTTCAACAAATGGTGGATGCCATATCAGCCATAAGCCCTGGATATGAGGTTCCGACATACCAGGATATGAGGGGTCGGATCCTGAAGAAGGTATTGGAAGAGGTAAAGAGTCATATACAAACATATAGGAAGTATTGGGCATCATTGGGTTGTACGATTATGGTTGATGGGTGGAGTGATGGGAGAGGCATGACTTTGATTAATTTTTTGGTATATTGTCCAAAGGGAACTGTATTTTTAAGATCGGTGAATGCATCAGAGATAGTTGAGTCTGCTGAAAGCATGTATGCATTGTTTAAGGAAGTGGTTGAGGAGGTGGGTGTGAATAATGTTGTGCAAATTATCACTGATAATGTTGAAAGTTATGCGATTGCTGGAAATATGCTTTGTGAAACATATCCTTCTATATTTTGGAGTCCATGTGCTGCTCGTTGCATTGATTTGATTCTATTCAAGATAGGAGAAATTGAAGAAGTTAAGAAAGTAATCAGAACGGCAAGGGAAATCACAAAGTTTATTTATAACCATGCGACTGTTTTGAATATGATGCGTAAATTTACAAATGGAAAGGAATTGGTTTGGCCATCAAGCACCCGGTCTGCTACCAATTTCTTGACATTGCAAAGCATGGTTGCCCAAAAAGATGGATTGAGAGCTATGGTCACTTCGAAAGATTGGTTAGACAGTGCATATGCAAAGAAGAGCAATGGTACATTGGTGGTTGATATTTTATTGGATTCACACTTTTGGACGTCATGCACTCAAGTGATTCGATATACTGAGCCTCTATTGCGAGTTCTAAGGATGGTAGACAGTGAGCAAAGACCTGCTATGGGATACATATATGAGGCTATGTTACGTGTGAAAGATGCCATTCGTATTGCATTTAAGAGCAAAAAGTCAGACTACATGCCTATTTGGGATATAGTTGATTCACAGTGGGATAGGCAACTTCAACGACCTCTTCATGCAGCAGGATATGTTCTTAACCCTGCGTGCTTCTTTAGCCCAGGTTTCTCAGATGACCACCCAGGGGTCACTACAGGGATATTAGACTGCATTGAGAGGCTAGTATCAGGGCAACGCAATCATGACAAGGTTATTAAGGAGCTCAATGTTTATAAATCGTCTGGAGGTGACTTTGGAAGGAGCATGGCAATTCGAGCGAGGAATACCATGCTTCCTTGTAAGTTTTTTCCTCTCTCTCTCTCTCTCTCTCTTTTCACTTAATTTTTGGTCTTATAGTAAATGAGATGATGTGTTTATTGTTACTCTGTGTGGATAATTACAGCTGATTGGTGGTCTACATTTGGAGGGCAATGCCCCAACTTAAAGCGTTTGGCAATGCGTGTACTTAGCCAGACTTGCAGTGCATCTGGTTATGAGTGCGATTGGTCTGTTTTCGTGCGTATGCACACGACTAAAAGTAATAGGTTGGAGCATAAAAGACTCACTGACTTAGTTTTTGTGCACTACAACCTACGTTTGAGGCAACGGTATGTACAACGTATGTGGAGACTGGTTTGTGGATTTAAGATTTGGGAGTTTGGATATTGTTTTTGGAAAGGTTGAAATGTTTTGTTCTTTGGTAGGGAGAATGCAAAGATGAAGCTTATTGATCCTATTGCATTGGAGAATATTGACACTTCGGAAGAATGGGTTGTGGAATTTGAGCCATCGATGCTCGAGGGGGATGATGACATGGACTGGATGACCTTGGATAGACCAATAGTTGGGGAAGACATCCCTTTGGAGCTTATGAGCATGGAAGTTGGTGATGGCAATACACAAGTAGAGCAACTTGGTGAAGAAGAAGATGGCACTGACATACAATAGTGGCAATTCAGGTCTTTCCTGTCTCCAATAACTCTTTAGTATAATAAGCTAGCAAGTGACATATAGTGAAGTTTTGTATGTGGACAGGAATGTGGGCGACTTCTCTTTTTAGCATACGCATACACTAGTTTATTTTCGGAAGTTTATTTTTTGGAATGCATAGATAAGGTATGTCACAAACAAAGAGACTTTCTATAGAAATGGAATTTCTTTGTAGTAAATTTAGATTCTGTTTGCCAATAGCTCGTGTCAATTGCTTAAACGCTATAGGCAAGGCCAGTCATTACAAAACATATAATGAGGAAAGGATGCTGGAAATTTCATATTTGTAAACTGATTTAAAAAATAATGCAAAGGGAATAGAAAGACCTCATGAGGTTTTTCTAATCCTTTGCTTATGACATAGGTTAGAACTGCTGTGTTTGGGTAGCCACTCATTATAAAAGGTGCTGTCAAGTGAGGGAACATCATGGCATCTTTACCCATATAAGAAAGCTAATGATATAATCCTTCCCAAAGACAGCATTAGTTTGTACGTAGCTGAATTCTGGAGAGAGAACATTCTGTGCATGCAAACAAGTAGTTTCTTTTCGTAAAGAGTTATGCTTTTGTAAAATAAAGGAACAGAACGAGGACATAAGGTTACATGAGTGGTTCCAAGAACTAAGTTGCCCTCCATGGTTAAACCTCAGTCCGTTGCTTGAGTCATCCGTACAGTTATGCTTTTGTATATTTTTTTTGGTCATACTGGCATGCTGTTTGCCTACTGTAGTGCCATCCAAATGCATACTTGTTCCATTAATGACTTTAAAAATCAGAAAAAGTTAATGTAGTGCTCCTGCAATAGCATGCATACAAGTTCCATCTTTTCCATGGAATGACTGCTCCTTTGTATAGCCATTTACTTTCATTTAGGGAATCCCGTCTATAAATGACACTTAAACTGCAAAATTAGCCTTCTATAAACAAGTGATTTTTCATTCATGTGAATAAATTAGTTTTGAAGGAATATCTTGGGGGTTTTTATTTATTTTTACTGGGGTTGGGCTTTTGTTTTCTCTTTTCTTCCTGCGAAAGCAGTTGCGCTAACGCCCATCTGTTTTTTTGCAAGAAGCAACGGCTAGCCTAGCACGAAAACAGATGCGCGTTAAAGCTGTTGCACTAACGCGCATCTGTTTTCTTGCAAGAATCAACGGCTAGCCTAGCACAAAAGTCGCTGTGCTAATGCGCATCCGTTTTATTGCAAGAAGCAACGGCTAGCCTAGTATGAAAGCTGTTGCGCTAACGCGCATCTTTTTTCTTGCTTGCATTCGTTGGTTTGTTTTTTCCCTTGTAGTTTTCTTTGTTTCTTCAATGAGTGCTTTTATGTTATGCAAAGCTCTTGTTTGAGAATGCTTTGCAACATCAAATCGAAAGTTGAAGAGGGCTTTTTGCTGCTGCGAACCCTGCCAATAGTTTGACCTTGCAAAGCCCTCTAGAGTTTTATATTTACTTTCTTTTGATATTAATGGTATTTGATTGATTAAAAACTGTGTGTTCATGTATATATCCTGCATAAAAATGAATCTATACATTAAAGACTCCAGCGTGTAATAAGTGAAGTAAAATTCTCTCACATATCTCTTAACAAGATATGCCTCGACAATGGTTTTTTTGGGAGAGATTTTGGAGTTTCCATCCTGCACTGTGGATTCTGCAAGCTCATTAGACTCCCTACAAATATGGGAAAACTCAGTCCTAATCCTGAAGATAAGACAATGAAAAAATCTTATCAAACACATTTTGGAGCTAATGAGGTACGGTTCCCTATGATTTACTCGGATTATTACTGTAATTGAGTTCTACCAGCAATGTAGGTTTCTAAGGCCAAATAGCAGCACCCAGGTCTCTGCTTCATTTGTGGTACACTCTTGTTGAGGACCTGACTATTAGTTATTTTTTTCCTCTCACTAGCTCTCCAACTCATGCTCCCCCTCAGTAACTTCGTTTGATTTCACATAGCCTTCATGAGGTGCCAACCGATTGGTAAATCTTCCTTCTCTCGGGAGCTTAGCAGTTGCAATCTCCTGCCATTTAGCCTTGCAATCATACATAGGGTACCTCCAGAGCTGTTTCTAGATTTCACCCATGAAACTATAGTGACTTTGAGATGTTCTTTCCTTTATTCCTTCTATATGTGCTTATCACTGAAGTATCTGTTATTGTGCTTTAACCAGGTGAGCGATATTATGGCTATAATGGTAAGCCTCCATAGGATTAAGCCCAGCTGAGGGAGGGGGCAATTGTGCTACTACGCATCAGAGCTTCTAATGAATCTGGTATAACCGAGCAAAGGCCAAATAAATTTACGACAAGAGCGCCCATATTGCATGCCATGCCCTGTGCTACAAAGTAAAACACAGCTGGTGGACTGACTCTGATGCCTGTTTACATAACATAAATTGGGGATCATCATGCCACGCCTGATCAGATAACCTATACAGTGTACCTTGTCAAGAATGACAGGCAAGTGAACATCTGAATCCGTTTGGGAGCAGAATCAGCCAGATTGTATGAGAAATAGAGTTTGGCAGCACAGTCTGTTCTAGGACCTGATACAAAGAACTCACTGGAAAAATACCTTTGTTTATCAGTACACAAATCTTCCTTGAAAGCGCACGGAGGCCTGGTGCCCATACATAAATCCAACTCCCTTCACCACTTCATTGAGATTTCAGGGATTGTAGCCAATGTGAACAGGGACCCTAGCCAATGGTCAAGACAAAACACTAATTTTCTTTTCATCCCAGCTTATTGTCTGATGTATTGGATATCTTTTTCAGGCAGCAATTAATACCATGCCCCAGACAAATTCCCATGGTTGGTAGCTGCTTTCAATGGCCGCCAATTCCCCTTTGTCTCCATTCTCCAACACCATTTGCTTAACAGAGCCAAGTTTATTTCTCTGACCCTTAAGATCCCCAGTCGCTATTTACCCTTAGGGCCTGTTTGATAACTGGAAGGTAAATGTCCCCTGAAAATTGGAAGTTCTACTTTGTTGGGAAGAACGAAGTTACTGTAAGGAAATGTTTGATAACCTGTTGGAATGTTAAAGAAATTCTAGGTACTTGTGTTTGACAACCGGATGGAATATAAAGTTATATTTATATTAGCACTATTTAAATACTATTAAAATATTATAAATTGAATATTTAAACAATATATAATATATATCGTATTGTAAATATCTTTTACATAAATAAAATATATTATATTATAAAATATATTATATTACATAAATATATATATTTATTTTATTAATAAATATTTGTATTATATACTCTATTGTAAATATCTATTACATAAATAAAATATATTATATATTAATGATTTAAATATCAACAAATTATAATATCATATATAGTAGTGTATTTTAGATTTATTTTATTAACAATATTTGATTATTTGTATATATAACATTGTAAATATTTGTTACATAAATGATACATTATATATAATAAAATATGTTATATATTATATATTATATTTCATGAATATATTATATATAATACAAATATGTATCTATTACATAAATAAAATATATTATATATTATATTACATGAATATATTGTATATAATACAAATATATATATTATATATAATCTATAACAATATATGATATTCATCTATTATATATAATATAATTAAATTATAATTTATGTGTTATTTATATTTTATAAAATACATAGTGTATTATATAATATAAATATGTATTATATAAATAATATATATAATATAATATAAAATATTACAAATATAAAATAACAATATAAATATAAATACAAAGAGGGAGGCAGAATAGGGTTTGAGGAAATAGCCCTCTTGGGCCAAGTTCCTATTTTAAGTTCCATTGTTTTAGATGGAACTTTTTTTCTTAAGCACAAGGGCATAAGGAAGTTCTAAGGAGAACTTCTTTACTGTATAAGGTCTGTGCATCAAACACGGAAGTTGTACAGTAATGGAGAAGTTCCTTCTTCCTCCCCCTAACTTCCTGTTATCAAACACACCCTCCCAAGTGTGTCTTGTGTTTGTTTGACAGTCCACCTCACAGGAAATCCCTCATTAATTTCTCTACCTTTTTGACTACATAAATGGCATACTAAGTTAAGTATACAAGTATACTGAGGTGAATTTAATGATTGTCAATTTACCTCCCATAGATAACTACTCTGTCTTTCATGTTTGTCAACTTCTTCTCAAACCTCTCTGCCACAATCCCCCACATGCCTGTAGTAGGCTTGCCATGGCATAAGGGAAGCCCCGGTATTTGTTTGGTGATAAATCATTCCCATATTGCTGTATCTGGCCAGATCCACTGGCTGATTTTCTTGTAAGCCAATTCCCAAGAGCTTTGTCTGTCATATTTTCTTATCCTTGATGTGACTTCGAACCAGCTCAAGCACAGCCAGAGGGTTTTCATTTCTTCAGTTTTGTCATCATAAAATAACAAAGTGTGATCTGCATATTGCAGATGTGACACTATCCGACCATTTGAGGATGAGTGGAGCCTTGATAGTTTGCCAGAGGCATATACCCCATCTAACATAAACGGGAAAGCGAACCATGGATCACCTTGTCTCAGAACTTTATAGCTCTGGAAGATGCCTTTTGGGGGTCCATTGATGGCATTAAGAAGTCCAAAGTAGATGAGCATCCTGCCATCCAATTTCCCCATCTATCTCCAAATTCCATTTAATTGGATTTTCTCTCTGAGATAATTCTAATCAACATTGTTGTTTTTCAAGGTCAGGTATGCAAAGCACCGCTGGCTTCCTTACTTTGTGGCTCAAATGAATACACTTGTATGTCACCAAGGCCCCTTCCAAGATGTGTTTATATCTCCCAAGCTGCCTGTGGAAGTAAAATTATTTGGGGAGGGCCCTCTTATGGTCAGCTTGCAAGCACTTTTGAGATAATCAATGTGTAATATTCTGAAAACTAATAGGTTGCAAACCTTAATTGTCAACAAATTGAGGTTGCAAATATTTGATATTTTCTTCCCCTCCTTTGGGACAAGAGCAATTAAGGTGGCATTCATGGCCTTGTTTATCATTTCCCCTTTGATAGAACTCATTGAAAGTGGAAAGGTTTTTGCTTTTGAGAATATCCCAGAAATCTTGAAAGAATGCTACCTGAAATCAATCAGGGCGAGGTGCTCCATCTTTCCTCGTAGTGAGAACTGCTCTCTTTATTTCCTCTTCTTAAAATGGCCTTTCTATCCATGTCACCGAGGCCAGTTTCTTGAATTGGATTTCGGGGACTGATTTGTATGATTTCTTATAATAAGCCACTGTCCATTTCTTTTTCCCTTTTTCTTAATGCCCATGTTTTGTGAATTAGGAAATATTTGCTTGAAATAATGATTCCTTAATTAGCTGTTTAATTGCATGATGGTGATTTCCAGCTGATGTTGGCAAGATGGTATTTTCTGGGAGATAGAGGGAATTATGCATCATCTGCAACTTTCTGATCCTTTTGTTGGAGCCATCAGTAAACAGTTGATGAATCTTTAGAGTGCTCCGCCAGCATAATTGTTGAGTTGTATTCTAGCTGGGCAATTGAATGTACTTTGCTGGTTCTTTGGCTTAGGTAGTTTTTTCTCCCAGCTACATTTTTAGGACTTCCCTTGGAGCTTTGGGATTTGCAGTTGAGTGGGCATTTGAATGCTAGATGGGATGGAAGAGCAAATGCTTTCTACGGCCAAGCAAAATCTAATATTTGCCTCCTGTTTTAATTTTCAGTAATAGTTTTCATGGAGATTTGAAGCTCCTGTTGATATTTTATTCCTGGGTTAGGTCTCAAGTGGTGAAAAATGGGATCACAAAAGGGTCCTGTTGCAAGCTGAGGCTTGGTCACTTCGGAGGATCACAAACCTTTCCAAGAATGTAGCATGGAAATTAGTTCTTTGATAAGCTCATACCATTGTGGTGAATAGACTCTTCATTAGTTTGTTGAGGTACTTTGATGTTTGGGGGAGGGAAGGTGGGGTGTAGTAGAGGTAGTGGTTGGTTGAGATAAGGTAACTAACACCCTATTGCCAAAAGGATTGGGTGGGTAATTTTGGACCATGCTGGTTTGGATGCTATGAGGAAGTAATGGCTCAAGAGATTCCATTCTAATTCTTGGGGCTAGGGTCAAAGGTTAGGTTGGGAGCCATTTGCTTAAGGGAGTTTCTCTTTAGACATGTGCGTTGTATTCCCTAGGGTCTTGGGCCTCAGTAATTCTAAGTCTTGAAGTTTGGTAGACTCAGAATTTAAGCTACAGTAGGATCTTTTATATGAATAGAAAGGAAAGTTGAAATATGAATTCCCTGAAAAGTGTACGAGACTTCGGCTACCTTGTGGATATCCTGTCAGCTTAGGGGGGAGGGAGTGAGGAGGGAGGTCATTGCATGTGGGAAAGTAATTTCATGGGCATTGGGAGCTTAAGGGGTGTGGAGTTGAGTATTTTATCTTTTGTTTAGGACAGTCTACTTGGGTATTAGAGACTAGTCTACTTGTAGTAGAGTCTATTATATGGATAAAAGACATTGTTTTGCAACTTCTGTTGGCATCAGAAGGATCTTGATCTGTATGTGACATTTTTGTATCTTTTATTGCTTCTCTCTCTTTCTGTTCAGGAACAAGATTAAGAAAATGGGAATAGTTTTGCAAGCTAATGTGTGTATTTTTTATGCATCAAGAAATGAATCAGAATTGGAAACTGATCCACATGGGTTAGGTGATTAGGTCAATTTAAGATTTTGGGAAAAATGGAAGAGAGACAAGGTAAAGTTGCTCATTTCTGTAATTTCACCAAAAGAAAACGTCAACATGGTTGAACCACCTCAAAAAAGCATGCGGTGATTAAATCCATAGATTTACCAAAAAACTGGTTTTTTTATAAAGATCTTTCTAGTTTGGTACTTCCTCAATGATTTTATCAAGAAATGCCTAAACTGCCTTGTTCTAGTTCAGAATCTGGACAAGCAAGGGCAATTTTTTTTGGCCACAGTTAAGTGACATAAATACTCATGTTTTTTCCAGGTTTCAATCCCTGAACATGTTTTTTTAAACAAAATCACTGGTTCCAGGTTGAGAATTTAGAACAAGCATGGTAGTTTAGTCATTTGGCTCGACTTAAATGGCCTAAGCAAATTAATGAAATTAACCTTGCTTTTTCCAGGTTCCAATCCTGGATCATGTTTTTCACTGAAATATCTCACTACGGGTATGGAATCCACAACTAGTGTGTTTGTCTTTGTAATTTAGCCACTTTAGTCCCTTGAGCACATTGCAATATGCCCATGCCCTTAGTTTGGATCCCAAACCTTAGTCTGGATCCCAAACCTGGAATGAGGACACTTTTGGGCATGTTTTGATAAAATCATCGAGTTGGTACCTAAGTGAAAAGATCTTTATGAATAATCACTTTATTGGTAAATTGATTTATTTAACCACCACCTTTATTTATTGAGGTGGTC